CTGCAATGTGTTTTTACCTCTGCACCCCGAGCTGCAACTCAACATCATGCAGCAATTCTGGAAAGCAAATGTTTTTGCTGACAACATTCCTCTACCTTTACAAATCCTGATTTTTCACTCTTAAAGCACATGTTCTAGCTCTGCGAGATGAATATATAAACATTAGGACATGATCATTACACAGCTAGGGAATGGATACATTGAATCTATTTGAGAGATAAAGGAGCATTTAAATAAAAACAAGTACCAAAAGAGTAAATTGTCACAAAAATAGATAAAGGGTTCTCCAAACATAACCAGTAGTGTATCAGAAGTTCAATAGACTAGAATTAAGCTACCACTAAGGAATTAATTAATTAGCATTTTCATCAATTTTTTCACATGCCTAGAGAGGTTTTGCTGGATCTGCACCTCCACAGCAAATTTTAAAATAAAGTAATATAGTAACTTTGTTAACTCCAAAGGAGAATACTTGTAAGCAATAAAAAAAAGAAGAGATGAAAGGAAAAAATGAAAGTCAAGTGAGGTTTTCCTCACAAAAACTAACGAAAACTGCCTGTCAAAACTTAAATGATTAAAACACTGCACAATTATTGCCAGAGGGGAGGAAGAGAAGGGGCAGATCGCATAATTCTGAAAAGATGCTCAGTTTTCAGAATTTCCCTTTTCTTTAATAGGTCAAAAAGACACAAGCCCAATTTAACCGAAATAGTTTGGACTGAATTTAAAATTACCTTGATGCAAAAGAAAATTTATTCACGGCCTCTTTAATCTACCTAAGAACCTATGTTAATAAAGAGCAACGTTTTCATCTGTTGGCTATCTTGGGTCCAGGACACAACTTCTGTCCAGAGAAGGAGACTCAAAAAGAGCCAATAGAACAGCAAATAGTAGAACAGCCTTCATACTGGCACTAAAAATATAAGAACTAAAAAACAATAGTCCTACAGCACGACTAGCAGAATAAGAGTCAATCCCATCTTTTCTTGAGTTGTCAGCTCAAATAAAACATAGCAGTAGTACTTCAAGAGACAGAAATAAATAGTTTGAACTAGAATATTCATGTGTTTTTGCTTCATACACATCTCCTCCAAGCATCAAACTGCAGCGTTTCATCTCTGAATGAAAGTTTCAGCAAGGATGAATCTTAATTGACTTATGAAATTAGGCTACCAATGACACTGAATCTAAAACCTGTGTAAGAATTTGCCAAGAAACCATTTGGCAACTTAGACATCTGCTGTAATTATTACACACTTAAAGTCTCTTCATCCAGAGAACATCTACACAGATGGCAGCATCCAGAAAAGAATTTTATTTACTCAGTTAGATGTGTTTCTTACTCCAAAGTCTGAAAGTAATAACATCTTCTGCCAAGATGTCTTGGCAAGATTAAACTCACCCAACATCCCCAGTAAGAGAAGTGCAAGTTCCTTCTCTAAGCCTGTTAAACAGAGTGGGGAAAGGTTGAATGAAGAGGATCAGCTGAAAACTTGGCCCACCATCATTTTTCAGTGTCTTTGAAGGCTGCAGCTATCCCTATTACAAAGCTTCACGTAGCTGGGAGTTACAGTTAAATGCATCAGGGCTTCTTCTGAGTACCCCAGAAGCGAAGCATACGAGGCTGATCGCTTAGGTGAACTTATTTTTAAAGCACTTTAAACAATGGTGGCAGCAAACCGCGCATTTGAAAGTTTACCTTTGAACGCATCAGCAATAGATTTAACAGCAGATGGTACCATATTCTGTCTTCTCAGGACTACAGAGTTTTGGTGATACTTCACAAGAACTAGGGCCAACTGAGATGCCAGGATTCTGGTTTGTTACAGAATTAAGGCTATAAAAGTTGTTTCTTTCTGCACCAGAACAAACTACGACGACTGTCCCACACCCTGACTACGTCCCCATCACAAGGCTAAAGCTCTTCAATCGCAAGCATGATTTACTGAAAACGAAACATATAGGTGAAGCTGGACCAAAAATACTCTTTGCAGTACAGCGATTAACTACATTTGAAACCGATGGCTATTCCCAGTTTTGCTCTGGCCACAAATTCTATTCTATGGACAAGGACGCTGACTTGCAGAACCGTTACAAAACCTAACAAAGAAAGTAAGGAAACTTGATTTAATCAAATTAGTATTTTCTGGTGCAAAGCACTTAATTGAAATTCCCACAGAATTCTGTAACTGTTCTCTAGCTTTTTAACACTACATCAATATTTGAGACATTTTCCTACTTGAGGGCGTCTAGTACAACATTCTTTAGACTACGTAGCTTTCCCTTGGAAACCCTTTCATTGTCCACAATTGTAAAAGATCACAAATTTCTTTTTTTACATGCCTTCCATATCCCTGATGCATAATGCCACATTTGATCTTGACTGATACACCAGCTCATTTCTAGCCACACTGTATATACATATATAAAATAGAAATATAAAATCAGTACTGCCTTGTACTGCCTAGTCGCTTCTTACTAGTTTTCTGAACATTTGTTTTGCCTTATTTCCAAGAGAGCAGGGTGGGAAGTAATCAATAGCTCTGAGCACAGCAGCTTTGGACGCAAGTGTCGATAGATATACAATTAGCCATCTATGAACATTTATCTTTGAATCAAAACTTACTTTGAAGATGCAATTAAGTATGCTTTAATATTTCTCATCATAATGCATATATAATGCAAACAAGTTGATCATTGAAATTTAAGAATATGAAGACAATTATAGCATATAACTTCACTGGAGAAAACCACTAAAACAGTAAAATTAGTTACAAGTTTAGTTTATTGATCTTCCTACTCACAGACACTTCTAAGCATTTGTCTCTGTGCATCCATTCTCTTGGTTGGTATAGTTTTACATTTACTCTTGTACACAGTATCTCATAAATCACTTTCATGGAGACCCTTGAATAATTATGAGAATAATCATACTGTAAAAAAAAGCCACGAGGACTACAACAGCTGACTAATCTAGTGCAAAGTACTACTAGTTAAACAACTATTTTTTATGTCCACCACCAATTCCTCACATACTCAAATTCTGCAGCACCAGCTCATGCAAACAGCTTACAGAACCGTTCCTGTGAAGCTAGCAGACTATTAAGAGTTTTAAGATTAGACCCCAAATTTACAATCGCTTGTATAAAGTCAGAGTTTCTGCTACGGATTTCCTTTAAAGCTACACTCATATCTTACGATACCAGTATAAGAGTTCTTACCATGCTTCTTGTTGTCAAGAATCAAAACACTGACAGAATTTGACTTCAAGCAGGAAACTATCTCTATTTACTCCCCAGTTTTAATAAAGAATCCACCTAGCTACCCACTTTGTAATATTTATCCACTTTGATAATAAAAAGGTTGCAAAGCAACATGTTTAAGACAAAACAAGACCATATAAATAAAAAACAGGTATTTGCGATTCTAAATACAGGTAACATTTTTGTTTTAGTATTAAATAACCGTTCAATAGTTTATTCGTTTGTTTTTTTTTTCCCCTGGTAAAGACTAAAGGAACACATGCATGTGGGAGAATATATATTCTTCTAACTAAGATCTCATTTTGTCTGGTAAACAAACATGCTGCTAAACTAACCATTATAAATAGGCTGATGAGCTAACTTCTCAGTAGAATTAACATTTTCTAATTCAGAGTTATTAAAAGGACCGTAGTTTTTGCTTGATTGCACCAATATACTGTAGGGAGCATAGTCTATATTGGCTTTCACCACTTCAGTGGTCTGAACTGGTTAGGTCTGAAGTGAGAGAAACGTGTGGGAACCACAGAGATATCTAGATGCTTACCATCTTAAAAGTTTACGTATTATAATTACTTTTGAACTATCACTAGTACCAAAACCCAATGAGCTACATTAACAGATTCTTTTGGGGGCACTGACTCAGGAGAGTTCAAACACCACTAGCAAAATACAATGAAATTATCAATTCATGAAAATGCATTTCTTGACAAATCTCATGAGCAGGCAAACTCCTTTGTAATATTTCAAAGGTCCATAGCATACCAACAGCCACAATCCCTATGTCATCTAAATCTCTAACAATAACAACATAGCAAAGGATCTGAACTCAAATAGATTCAATGGCAACCTTAATTGGTGGGATTCCTAATACCAAGTATAGACATTACATGCCCAACAGTGCAATGTCCAGTTTAAGTTTTGGACCACAGAACCACGGGGCCAAGACTAAAAGGTCCAGATGTACTTCTGCAGCTGCAGGCTCAAATCACCTTTTGTGTATACTCTGCCGGATTTATAAACAATCGCAAGAAGATGCTGCTATCCACCCTCCTGCGTCTTCTGAATGAAGGACAGCTGTAAATCCCTAAAAATCTGGCCCTAAAAATTCTGTCGATAGAATTTTTGAAAAGTCATTTTAACTTTCTCGGCAGTACTAGATGATTAAAACGTGTGCATAATAAAATATACTGAAATAATCTGAAGAATCTGTCGAGGTCAGAAAATTCATTTATAATTATAATAGTACAAAAAGAGTTAAAGGAAGCTTAGTCTATTCTTGTATGCTATTGATCCTGAAAACTATGAGACTATATTGTGTGCTGCCTGAACAATATATTCTCAGAGCATATCTGCAACTAACAGTAAGCCACATTTGACACATTCTAAGTACTTTTTGCTTCCATACAGCTTTCTATTATGAGCCTTTTAGAATCCAAAGTAATTTAATTATGTCATCACACACTCTTCTGCATAGTAAGCTAAGAATTAGAGGCTTGAGATGATGTATTTTTTCATTCCAAGTTCTAGAGTGGTCTGCTACATTTAAAAAAAAAAAAGAAGAAGAAAAAAAAAAAGAAACTAATACAACGAATAACCTAGTTTTTCTGCATGAGGAAGCACATCAAAGTCCCATATCTACCCAAGTGGCAGATAAAGGATGACCAGCTTTTCCACGGCTCTGTTTTCCCATTTCATTCATCTAGCTGAAGATTCTCCTGTGACAAGCATACTACTTACATATTCAAACTTGGTAAAAATAGTCAAGATGTTCAGAACTCCATATTTAAATCATACTTTTTGCAGGCCTGATTTTGTACCCTTTGGAAAAAAGGCACAAGAAACAAACATGTTAGTTATTTTAAAAAGAACAGAATAAAGAGTGTTTTAAAACTTCATATTATTGTCAAGGATAGTCGTTTCTGTTCAGAGATGTCTTCATGACTCAGGTGGCAAAATCGATGCTGAGTGAAGGACAGGAAAAAAATGTCAACTTGTAAACAGAAGTTCTAGTCATCCAGTAGTATGATATAACATTGCATTGTTCAAGAACAAGTTACTTCAGACACCAAAGCTAATAAATTATCTGCTTAAAGATTCAGAGTACTTACATGTGAAGCTTGCTCTCAAGTAAAAATCATCTGACTGGCACTACAAACAGTTATTCAAAAACACAGAGCTATCAAGGCAAAAAAAAGCCCGATTGGTATGTTTTCCAACCAACTAAAGCTAAGCTTTCGATCTTTGTTCTAGGTCAGCATGTGTGAAGCTCACATGGTAGAATTTATAAGATGACTGAAAGAATTAACAGTTTCAATCATGAGACCTGTCAGCTTAAGCCAGAACCTATCACTGAAAGCAGTAACAGTTTTGAAATTCATTTAAAGCAAGCATCAAACAGTGAAAATTGCCCCCAATGATCACAGTTACCAAAACAAATGCATTTACATAGATGTTACCAAACATAAATAACTACTTGGACCAGCCTCAATTTTCTTGTTTTTCAGCACCACACCAACTGAAACCTTCAGTTGCACCTATCTAGTCTTCAGCTACTTTCAGGCCCACAGTCTGTTATCTAATCATCATTTTTCATCTTCAACTTCTCTGGTTATAACATTCTATTACCACGACCAAAGAGCCAGTTTTTTGAAAAAACTGCATATTTATTCCTGCACAGTAGATGTCTCCGTGTTTTCTATTCAGCACTTCTTGAAGTTGTAAGCTCATTATGAGGTGCTCTTGGTGAAGGAGAAAAATATTAAGAATTGTTCCTGATCTTATCCTAGGTACCCCTCAACTCTCTGACACATGGTCGAAAGAAAGTAGATCAGTCTACCACCTGCTTTATATTCAGAACACTTTCATCTAACTAGCAACTGCTGTAGACTGCAATTTTACTTTGGGAACCCAAAGAGGCAACAACTAAAAAGTTTCCATTATACTACTATAAAGTCCTTTGCATAACTTGACAATTATTTGAAGAAAAAGCCATGTTTACACTAAGTGAAAACATACCTAGGGAAAAATCACTGCTTGGAATTTCTTGTGCTTCTGTGCTAGTTTAGCCAGTTCTCCTACATCCATTCCACAGTACTGTGCCTTATGTTGGGAAGTTGCCCAAGTCGCTGCTTCCAGAAATTGCCCTCAGGTTTTAGAGGTCCCACAGCATACTAGTACGGTTTGTGAGACAATATACATTTGGTTGCCCCCACATACCAACGTGAATGTGGAGTTACTGAACTTTTGAAGGAAAAGTTGAAATTAAAAAGATGAATTAATTTTTATTTTTCCTACCTACATGGATAAGCTTAAAGAAAGAAAACACTATGAGAACAGTGATACACTAATGCTAATCTACACTGCAGATTAGCTTCTCTTTCTCATTTTTGCTTTTGAAAAGCTTAAGTGAAGACTATGTATTTTAATTCAGAAAACCAACAGTGAATGAAAGTAACAGGCATTGCATTGAACACGCTTTTGCGGGTATTTCTGAGGGGAAATGCAAGCCTATGGCAGACACAATAAAAAGAAGGTGCTTTTGGGCACCCATCTCAAATTCCAGCCTGCAAGCATTGCAGAGTATCAAACCCTTTCCTAGGGGAGTCCTGAGTCAAAACATACAGATAGCACAAACAAGATTAACATCCAAATTAAATAAATGGCAACATAATTTATACATTTGTTACCATGCAGAAGTTCTGGTAGCATGTTACTTAAAAAAAAAAAAAAAAGTCTTTTTTTGCTGGTTTTTTTCCTCATCTTGCTTGTCTCCCTTTCAGGAGCTCTGTAAGAGAAACATTGAGTGGGTAACCAAAAAACAAGCTGAAAGAAATCCTAACTGCTGCCTGTGCTTTAGCTGCGGCCTAAAAAGCCCCTTGAGGCTTCTGTATCACACTGGAGCTGAGCTCAACACATCCGTCTCGGGAACTGGGTGTTGCAGACATCTCTCTAGACTACCTGGTTCCAAAAGCAACCAGAAGAGAAGCTCCCTACGCTCGGACTCACAGAGCCCAGCTGCCTTACGGGCCGTGCTCACCACAGAAACGTCCTTCTGCCCACCCTACCTTCCTTGCTGCCCAGTGGGAGCCCCACAGTTGGCGCGAGGGTTTTGCTACGCAGGCCCGCAGCTGAGGGCATTCAAGGTCTGCCACCTCTGCTTAAAAAAAAAAAAGGGGGGGGGGGGAGGGGGGAGGGGGAAAACA